GGATTAAATGGTATAATAATATTATTATTATTTAATTGTATTTAAAATCTTGACTTCAAAATGTTATGATGTTTTAATTTTACATAGGTAATTTAGATTTTAATTTAGATTCTGAGCGGAGCGTTAAATGACATTGTAATAAATTTCCCTTGGGAAAGTCAAATCCCGATAGTCGTGGTAAAGGCCGTCCCAAAAATAAAACGGATGAACCAGTTTTATCAAATGTTTATAAATTCATAGAAAGTCTTCCAGCTGTTCAGTCTCATTATTGTAGATCATCGACAACAAAAAAATATCTACCTAAAGAATTTGAAAGTATTGAACGCGTTTTTCGATTATACAAAAGTAACTGTGAATCAAATGGGTTAAAAAATGTGTCAAGTGCTGTATTTAGAAGAATTTTTCGAGAAAAGTTTAATTTGGGTTTTCATTTACCTAAAAAGGACAAGTGTAATAAATGTACTAAATTCAAAAATATAAAAGAAACAGGAGATTTAAATGAAAATGAACTTCGACAAGAAAAAGAACACGCAATTGATAAAGAACAGAGCAAAGAGGCATTTATTTTTGACCAAGAGCTATCAAAATGCGATGGAAATTTTCTCTGTGTAAGTTTTGACTTACAAAAAGTGCTCAGTACACCATATTCAGACAACATGAACTTATATTATAGCAGGAAATATAGTACTTATAATTGTACTGTATACGAATCAGGAAGTAGAAATTCTTACTGTTACTTATGGGGAGAAATAGATGGTTTACGTGGCTCTAATGAAATAGTAACATGTATCTTTAAATACCTAACTGCATTAAATGAACAGAATAAATTTGAATCAGTTGCATTATATTGTGATTCTTGCGCGGGACAAAATAAAAACCGAGCGATGATGACTATGATAGAATATGGTTAAATGAATGTATGGACTAAAATTAAGGAAATAAAAATAACATATTTATTGCCAGGACACACGTATATGCCTGTAGATTCAGTACACTCAGTGATTGAACGCTGTATTAAAAAAAAAACCATATGGGGTCCATCCGAATGGCCGACCATAATTAGAAATGCTAGAATATATCTAAAACCTTATATAGTTATTGATCTTAAGTTTATAGATTTTTTGGACTGGAAAATGCTTGCTGCACAGTGGTATAGTCCTCAATTAAAATGTAACGAAGGGAAACAAAAAATTCAAATATCCAAAGTGAAGTCATTTGTATTCACAAAAATTATGAACGAATTGTCAGAAGAGCAAATTACCATACATGTTTACTTTTCGTATAATGCAGAAGAGGTACCTCTTACGCTAGCAAAAAAGAAAAAGAATAACCATGACAAATTAGAAGTTTCTAAATGTTATCAACGTGCACTAACCATTGCAACTAAAAAATATGACGATCTGTATAAATTGTGCAGGGATGGCATTATTCCTAACTCATACCATTTAGAGTATTTTAGTATGAATACTAGTGAAGAAAAAGCTGACTGCTTAGATGAAACGGATACAGAAGAATCATCTACAAGTAGTGATGACGAATAATTTGATTTTAATTTTTAAAAAAATAATAATTTTTTATTGCATTTCTATGTTATTTATTTTTTTATTTTATTGTACGAGTTGTATTTTATTTATTTTTACCTAACGAGTTGTTTTTGTTTATTATTATTTAAAAATATAAAAAATGTATTCATAAATTAATGAGAAAGCAATATTCAAATTTATTAAAAAAAACTTGTTAAAATTGACTTGTTATTAATTGTAATGACGTGTGTATATTGTGTCGTTTAATACATTTTTCGATGGCGCTTGAAGCATTTTATTAGTAAATAACGTAAGCGACAAAAGTACAAGTAAGCAAATTAAAATGTGGTAAACGCCAAAAATAAAATGTAGGTATTTACTAAAAAATCAAAAAGTTATATTACTCTATGGAATTAGATTTATCTTAAAGATAAATATAATACGTATATGTGAAAAAAAAATTGAAGGATTATCTATAAAACAAAAAAAGTTATACCATTTTGAAAATAAAAAAAAAGATAAAATCGTTTTTGGGTTCTCCTTAACAGTTTGAAATGTGTCGCTTACAGCAAATAGCCTTTTAACCGACGATATGGCTCTGCAAAATTTACATTTTATATTTTACATTATTTATTAATACTTTTATTACATTCGATTTATTGCAGAGTTTAATGTATACGATTCCTGAGTTTTTTTTCTATTACGAGTAATAATATATGCATTTTGATGGATGCAGATGATACATGTAGTCATAAAAACTATTATTACATAATTATGTATATATTTGAATGTATATAAAAAAATAACTGAAATTCAATTCAAAGATTTATTTTTAAGAATACATTTTTGATATAAAAATAATTTCTCATACATTAAGAAAAACGTTATAAAAATAATTATCTCTAATGTGAAATTTTAAAAAAATGAAATTATTATTTTAACTGTTTTAGATTTAAACAAATTAGCCAGTTATTAATTATTATAAACTTTTTATTATTAATACATTAATATTTAATACTATCATTTAAGACATTTGTGTGGCTTTTTACATATAACCTGTATCGGCTGTATCTTATTTATATATAAACAAGTGGTGTATTTTGAAACGCCACAGTGTTACCACAACATCTCCTTCTTTAAAAAAAAAAATCAAATTATTACAAGTTACCACAAAATAAAGACCAACAATACTGATCTCTACAAATAATTAGAAGATCTTAAAATTAAATAAACAATTACAAAAGTAATAAAAAAAAACAATATCAACACAAACGATACATAGTGTATTAATCTACAAATACAATTGACAAATTAATAGTTTATTTAGACATGTATTAAATGTATAAATAGTGGAATATTAGAAAGGTTTACTCAAATTTACTAGGTGGCTTAACAACTCTACCACTTTTAGTTATAGTATGTCCTATATTCTGAAATGCCAATAATTCATCATTAATACTATTATTTCCTGTGCTAAAGAATCATTATTTCTTTCAATTCCATTGTCGTTCTTTTGAATGTTTACCTCATCGTTTACAATATTACTATCTTGGAATCTTAAATCATCATATCTCATCCTTTCCTCACTACACTTATTACTCTGATTATTGTCTTCAGATGTATCATAGTTAAAACTAACTCTAGGTTTTAAAAATTGACTATTTCTCCTGACTAGTTCACTTTTATTGTTCATTTTGACTAAATATGACCTAGGTTGCTTTATTTTTTTTACTATTACTGCTTCAAACCATTCCTTACTAAATTTATCTTGACACCAAATCTTTTGCTTTTCACTAAAATTGCTTACTGATTTAGATCCTCTATCGTACCATTGTTTTTGTTGTTCTTTATATTTAATGTTATTTTTCTCAGGATATACTATTTTAGGTTTGAACTTTTTACTATCAACCCAAACCAGTTTAGTTCTAAGTTCCCTGCTTTGCAACATCTGAGCTGGAGAATAACCTACTCCCGCAATTGGTGTGTTTCTATAATACAATAAGTACAGTTCAATATCTGTTTTTGTGAAACTAGATTTTTTAAGCATTGATTTGGCTATGTCAACTCTTTTTTCCGCCAAACCATTTCCTTTAGGAAAGTTTGGACTAGATGTGATTACTTCAAATGACCAACTATTTGCAAAATCTCTAAACTTTGTACTATTAAACGGATTATTATCACTCACTGTTTGCTCAGGTACTCCAAATTTACTAAAAATTGTTTTTAACTCTTTGATTACACTCTCCGCTGTCTTATCTCTCATATTACAAACTTCCAACCACCGTGAATAATAATCATAAACAATTAGATATATTTTCCCTTGATTCTCAGCAATGTCCATGGCCACTTTCATAAATGGTGTATCCGGTATCTCATGGCTTAGCATAGGTTCTTTAATCTTACTTTTGCTGTATTTCTGACAGACGTTACAGGCACTAATGAAATTATCAATGTAAGACTTCATTCCAGGCCAGTAATAAAAATGTCTGGCTTTCAAGTATGTCTTAGTTGACCCTATGTGTGTTTCGTGCAACAATTGAATCACTATTTTTCTCAGCTTTCTAGGGACAATGACTCTAGATCCAAAATACACTATACCATTATTAACTAATATTTCTGACCTATTTCGAAAATAGTGAATCAATTCTTGACTCTCCTTTTCCTTATTAAAAACTACCCAACCTTGCTGAAAATGAATTAAAACTCTACTCAGAACTTCATCTTTCTCCACTTCACTTCTGAGCTCTTTAAACTTTCCCTATGTTATTCTTATTTCGTATTCTTTAACAGTGTGAACTATATCATTAATCTCACTGTCTTCCTTAACTCTTTCATTCAATATGTTCCTACTTAACAAATCAGCGATGTACATGTATTTACCTGGAAGATATTTTAGATTGAAAGTATATGGAATTAATTTTAGCTTTAATCTTTTAATTCGATTATTTTGAATCTGGCTCAATTGTTTATTCATGATGGACACCAAAGGTAAATGATCAGTGTACACAATAGTGTCATTTTTACCATAGATATAATTATGAAATTTTTTACAGGATTCGGTTACAGCCAGAAATTCTTTCTCTATTTTAGCCCACGATTTTTCAGTACCAGATAATGAGCGAGAGAAATAGGACAACGGTTTTTTATTTTGCATTAAACAACACCCTATTGCGTCTTGAGACGCATCACACTGTATCTCCAGCTATAATTTAGGATCATACATGTGTAATACCGTAACTTGTGCAATGAGTTCTTTAATATCATTGAATGATTTGTCATGAGTCCAGTTCCAGCTTCAACAAACATCTTTCTTAAGCATTTCCCTTAGTGGTCCAGATATTTCTGCCAAATTAGGAATAAACTCCCTTATATAATTTATTATACCCATGATTATTTGCAATTATTTTTTATCATTAGGCTTTTTTAAATCTAGTATTGATTTGATTCGCTCTTTATCTGGCTTAATACCTTCCTCATTGAATAAAAATCCTATGTATTTAACTTCCTTTACACAAAACTGCAATTTTTCCATGTTACATTTTATGTTTAATGACCCTGCTCGTTCCATAACCTTTTCTAATATTTTGTCATGCTTCTCCTTAGTCTGGGCACACTGAAGTACATCATCAAAATATAATACAACCCCATTAATATCACCAAAATATTTATACATTGATTTTTGAAATAACTCAGGAGCCGATGACACTCCAAATGGCAATCTTTTAAACCTATATATACCATATGCTGTACTGAAATTAAACATTTTGCTTGATTCCTTATCCAATATCATATGATAGAAACCACTCTTGACATCCAGGACGCTAAAGTATTTTTTATTTGTTAATTCAATCTTAATTTCTTCCAATGATGGTATTTGATAAACTTCTCTTATTATATACTTATTCAGCTCACTTGGCGTCTAAACATATTCGTAGACTTTTATCTTTCTTTTCTACAATAACCATATTACTCACCCACTCACAAGGTTCATTAACTTCTTCAATAATGCTTAAACTAACTAATTCTGTTAAAGTTTCCTTCAATTTATTTTTAATAGCATGTGGTACTCTCCTTGCTGGACATATTTTTGATTTAGCCTCATTATTTAATTTTATAGAAACTTCATCTGGAAAAGAACCCATTCCAGTAAAAATATCAATATTATTATTAACAAAGTTTTCTTTCTCTTTATCATTTAGAATTTGTATTTTATTTATGTGACTCTGACAATTTAATTTTGCATTATTTATATATCCTAATCTCTTACAATCAATTAAACCTAAAATTGGTTTAGTCTCATTTCCTACTACTATAAAATGTGTATCTATTTTGATTTTATCATTTCTAAGTTCCACATTGATTTTACCCAAAGGTTCTAACTACAAATCCTCCAAACGCTTCAATTTTTACATTACATGCCACTGGTTTCAAATTCAATTTTTTACACAAACTTGCTGGCAAGACATTTACGTCAGCCCCTGTGTCTATTTTGATATTTACTTCATAATTATTTAATAACATTTTTTCAGACCAGTCGTTTCTATTCTTTTCTAATAAACTCAGTACCACAACTTTGTCTATATCTACTTCACAGTTTATATTGTGAACCTGATTATTTTTTTCATTATTACTGCCACTGCCATTGCTATTATAATTAGACTTGCCATTACTATGATTACTACTATTAAATTTACAACAATTAGCAAAATGATTTAATTTACTACATTTATTACATTTCTTACCATAAGCATAGCAGTCATTTATACTATGAGTTGACCCGCACCTCTTACAATTTGTAATTATTTTGACATTTGTTTGATTTGATTGGCCCAGAGTTTTCTGTTGATGAAATCTTTTCTTGAACTGTTTTTTGAATTTTTGATCACCTTTCCCCATGACATTGACTTCTTTTGACTCTTCGTGGAGTATCTGCCGGTTGATCTCAGATGGCTCCATAGCTTGACACTGATTCACTAATTTATCAAGTTCCAAATTTTCTCTTAGAAGTCTGGATTGCAACTCCTTGTTACGCAACCCGATTATTATTTGAGTGCGCAACATTTTTTTTTTCAAAGTCTCAAAAGAGCACGATGCTACAAGAGCTTTCAAGTCGGTATAGAAAACATCAAAACTCTCATTTTCAAACTGTTTTCTCGAGAAAAAACGAAAATGTTCTATGACTTCATTTTTTTGAGGGATACAATAATCTTCAAAAGCTTTTAACACTTCATCAGCTGTTGACGGTTTGATCTTGAAGGTGTTATAAAACCTTAGAGCCTCAGGCCCTACCAAATTTAGTACACAAGCAATTTTTATAGTTTCTTTTTTTGTGTCGGTCTCGGTTGCCGTAAAATATATGCTTACTTCTTGTTTGAATCGATTAAAGTTTTCTTCCAGGTTGCCTCCCAACTTTAAATGGTCTGGTTTGTTGTAAATGTGGGCCATTTTAATTTAATTTATCCGCAATTATCCACTCAATCACTGGAACAAATCTACTTTACCGGACACCCTTTTTTTTTTAAATTTTTTTTTTTCATCATATGTGTTTTTTTATGCTGATTTCAAAACTGTTTGAAAAAATTTGCGGAAACTTACCATTCAAAAGTTATGACAATTTAAAGTTTACGATATTATTATAGTTTTATGCTAAATTACCAACTATCACCACTCATACATTGTCATGTTGTAGCGCAGTGGGAAACATGAGACTATCCGAAACTGTTGAATCCTAGTTCGATCTACGTTGAGACCAATTTCTTTTTGCACTTTTTTTTTGGAATTTTTAAATTGCATTTTAACATACGTTCATACATTATCATTATATATTATGGCAATTTAAAGTTTTTAAGTTATGCCTATACGCATGTGGCGGCACTCGTCGCTCCGCTCCTCGGCGCCGTCGCTCCGCTCCGCAAATCGAAAATATCCCTCGACTTGCTATGCAAAACCACCTTAAGTAGGTAACAGATTCAATAAAAGTGTAAAAATGTGAAAATTAAACTAAAAAAATACGCGTGTGGTATCGGCATGCCTATACGCGTGTTGCGGCACTCGTCGCTCCGCTCCTCGGCGGCGTCGCTCCGCTCCGCAAATCGAAAATATCCCTCGACTTGCTATGCAAAACCACCTTAAGTAGGTAACAGGGTAAAAACAAATGCATATTTTGGTGTTTACATCTATTGACCGAACGGAGTCACTCAATCGAAATAGAACTGTCACGTAAAAATAATCAACCTGAAGGGGGAAGTCGTAAAATCATATAGGTATAGATTACACGTACAAATAGTTGATTAAAAAGATAATTTAGGATTTTATCGTAAGTAATAAATATGTTTCGAGTATAATCGAAATCGTCTAACAGTTGTGTACAACAGACTGTATAGTCTAACCTTGTGATCACATTAAGATTTTGCGATGAATGTAAATTTATTTGATTTAAAAGAGTGGAGTTCCATGGATAATGGACTCGTTTTAATAAATAAATTAATAGAATTTAATGTATTTCCTGCCTCACGTAAATGCCCGAGAGGACATGATATGAAACTTGTAAATGACAATAGCGTTATTGATAACTTTAAGTGGATGTGTCGGGAAAAAATTAGAGAGAGAAACCAAAAAGCAAAACCTTGTAATTACAGGTAAGTAAAAAAAAAAAAAAAAAACATTTAACGAAAATTTTACATGAGAAAATATGAATTTTGCAGTGCATCATTACGTAAGAATACTTTTTTTTACAAATCACATTTGTCACTATTAAATATTTGTGGATTCGTGAATCTATGGTCGATGAACTGTCCTTCCTTAGTTATACAAAAACAGCTTCGATTTGCTAATCAAACCGTGGTAGATTGGAGTTCATTTTGCAGGGAAGTGGTATTTTACCATATGATTAAAAAAAAAAAACAATTGGGAGGCATAGGAGAAGTCGTCGAAATAGACGAGTCAAAATTTGGACGCCGTAAATATCACAGAGGACACCGGGTAGAAGGCCAGTGGGTATTTGGTGGTTATGAACGGGGAAGTGGAGATTGCTTCTTAATTCCAGTGGAAGACAGAAGCGCAGAAACATTAGTACGGATAATCGAAGAGTGGATAAAACCAGGCACGACGATTATTTCCGATTGCTGGAAGGTACGTATTATTTAGCACTATAATAAAGGGTGATCGGTCAAAATAAAATAAAATTAGGAAAATACAAAATAATAAATAAAACCGTTGCCGTCGCTCGTCGCATCAATTGGTAATAGGTATAGCAGGATTTCTTATCAGTATAATATTTTATTATCTTGTATCGGGCTAAATCGAAAATCAATAAATAAAATTTTTTCAGGCCTATAGCAGATTAAATGAAAAGGGCTATAATCATCTAACGGTTAACCATAGTGTTAATTTTAAAGACCCAGAGACAGGCGCACACTCCAATACAATAGAGAGCACTTGGCGACATGCTAAAGTAACTTTACCAAATTATAAAAGAAAAAAAGAATTCTACGGAGGGTACCTGGCAAAATACATGTTCATGAAAAAATGTCGGAATCATGAACTAGACCCTACCGTAGAATTTTTCAACGCTGCTGGGTCATTGTACAGTGTAGATAATGATGAAGAAGCTCTCATTGTACAGAATGAAGAACAACAGAAAGAAGATGAAGAAACCGAAGATGAAGAAACCGAAGAGGGCGAAGAACCTAACCTTACATATTATACTAATTATGAATAACTTGTTTATTAAAATTAAATTAAATTAATAAAATATCTAATTTATTTGTATATAATGATAATGTATGAACGTATGTTAAAATGCAATTTAAAAATTCCAAAAAAAAGTGCAAAAAGAAAATTGGTCTCAACGTAGATCGAACTAGGATTCGACAGTTTCGGACTGTCTCATGTTTCCCACTGCGCTACAACACGACAATGTAAGGATGGTGATAGTTGGTAATATAGCATAAAACTATAATAATATCGTAAACTTTAAATTGTCATAACTTTTGAACGGTAAGTTTCCGCAAAATTTTTCAAACAGTTTTGAATTCAGCATAAAAAAACCCATATGATGAAAAAAAAAAATTTAAAAAAAAAAGGGTGTCCGGTAAAGTAGATTTATACCCAATCACTAACTTGTTTTCTAAAAACAATTTAACGACTGCGCCATGTTTTAGATTTAAACAAATTAGCCAATTATTATAAACTTTTTATTATTAATACATTAATATTTAATACTATTATTTAAGACATGTGTGTGGCTTTTTACATATAACCTGTATCGGCTGTATCTTATTTATATATAAATAAGTGGTGTATTTTGTAACGTCACAGTGTTACCACAACATTAACAAACTACATAAGAATAACGTACTTACGTAATTGCACTAGAAATCAAAATGTTTTAATGTTATTGTTGCTAATATAAGTTCAATATATCATATACAAATCATGACATACTAACGTATGAGTTATTATGCATAAACATGATTTAAAAATATTGGTGTAAATAATTTTTATAACTTAGCAACTTATTATTTCGATTGAACTATCAAATTTGATTAATGTGTACGTACATTTCACCAGCCCCCCCCCAAGTTACAAAACCGTTGTTTTTTCTTCACCATTAATTAGTGTGGAATTAGTGTGAATTTGTGCGAATATTTTCAGTTTAAATTTCGATTTTTGTCACACAAATTCACACTAATGGCGCACTAATTTTTGGTAAAAAAAAAATCCAGAAAAGCCGGATTTTCGCCCTCGAGGGGGGGCTGGGGAAATGGCCAAAACGGTAAAACGTTATTTTGGGGGTTAAGGGTAGCTCGAAAAATTTCGATTTTTGTCACACAAATTCACACTAATGGCGCACTAATTTTTGGTAAAAAAAAAATCCAGAAAAGTCGATTAATTACACTTAGGGGGGGGCAGCGAACATTTCACCAGCCCCCCCAAAGTTTTTTTGAATTTGTCCGAAATTTTTAATCGCACAAATTCTGAAAATATTCGCACAAATTCACACTAATTCCACACTAATTAATGGTGAAGAAAAAACAACGGTTTTGTAACTTGGGGGGGCTGGTGAAATGTACGTTTAATGTGTTATGGATACATTTAAATGTCAAAGAAATATGCAATATTCAGATTTCAAAACACAAAATAAAAAAAAAAAGCAATATTGCTTCTGATACTCTCTCACTTCTGTCAGAATCTAGAACTTTAATCAGATATGTTCCACACAAAATAATATTACTATGCAAGTAGATATCTGTTATAAGTACAGATAAAAAAATATAATACGTACTTGTTTCCGCTGTAAGAGATAATGTTTATTTAATTTTTAATACATTCATACAATTTTCCATGAATGACATTGGCATTATATTCATAATATTATAATTGTATTATGATTAAGAGAACGGGTCATCCGCATGTGTTATCTCCGTCTTACGTACGACATGCCAAATGTTCGTATACCATGTTCGTTTTAATAATGTGTGGGGTGTTTTGATATTGCAGCATAGATTAAACATACATAGATAGCCAACGCCGTGTGATCGTTTGGTAATAAATTTCGATGGGAAATGTACCCGAGAATATTTAGTTTGTACCCGACTCGTTAGAAGCGCTAGTTTATTACCAGCTAAATCGGGTACTGCGGCGGCCAGCTATGCCGCCGTGCCGACTGCCGCGCAGGTGCATACTGCACTAGTGCACTACTGCCTATTAAAGTATTAATTTAATTGCTATTAGAATAGAAAAATAAGTATGTTATTAATAGGATTTCCCAAATCCCAATACGTCACACAGTTATGAATAACTGTGTATGAATAACAAACACATCCATTTATTATCTATTATCTACTTTCGGAAATAGAATTACGTATAATTATGTAATATATCGTCAAAGCATTGTATGTGTTGAACTTGAGCAGTTGAGCATAAACATTGTCATCTGTCCATTTGTCGTATTAGTGTATTACTCGTATTTTTGTATAATTATTAATAATATTAATATGGCTCGAAGAAATAAATGTGTGTTCTTCAACTGCTTTAGAAGTAAAGTTGCAGAACCCGGGTTAACATTGTTTCATTTTCCCAAAAATGACCCTCTTCGTGCACAAGAATGGGTTAAAAAATCAGGTCTGTAGACTGTAGTATATTAGTGAAATAGTCTAGGTATATAACGCTTAAATATACAATAGAATTTACATAGCAAGAAGTTTTAATTTATAAAATATAAAATAATTTTAAATATAATATTAATTATTATGAAACCAAAGGTGGGCAATACTTAGTAAAAAGTTATTTTTTAAGCTTTTTAACTTACCTAACTACCTAGTTAGTTATCCATTTTGAATTACTATTGATTTTATAATAATATATATTATAATTTATAATATCATACATTATAAAATCAATGTAAATACCCATGAAATCACTTAAAAATTTAACTAGGTATTAGTATAAAACAATGTTAGGTAAATTTATAAATTTATAAATCCACCTTGAAACATGTTAAAAAAACTTACCATTATTCAGTTGATTTAAAAATAGTCTGTTTATATATTTTGTTAAATTATTAATTGACTATGAGATGTGTATAATTCAGGGGCGTAGGTAAGGGGGGGGGGGNTTTAGTTATCAATAAACTACGCTATTTACAATTTTTATATGAAAGATGAATGTTTATTATTTTTATACTTAAATTACAACTATTTTTCTGTGTATTTTAGCTCTATAAAGTGTAAAACAAAATGTTATAACAAAACTGTGAATCCAGTGTAATTTTTACTAATATACTTTATTTTAGAAAATTCAATACTTAAGATATTTGGTTGTATCATCAATAATTTTTAAAATAAAAATTTAAAATATATAATTAAATGTATAAAAACCAAATTTGTGAAATGAATTAAATATTTAGTATTTCATAAATTTTCATAGAAAATAATAGATCAATAAGAAATTGTATAAATGTATTTTTTATTGACAATATAAGAATTAAGTATCTATAATTTACCTTTAATACATTTATGGATAAGTGTAATATTTTTTAAATTAAACTTAAAAATTGACATATTAACCCTATTTTGGAATTTTTCAACCCCTTTGTGGCACGTGAAGGGGTTGAGTAATCATGACCAAATTTAACAACAATTACTTTCAAATAGTAATGAACAAAATGGAAAGGTAAGAAATCAAAAATTTGCAAGTTCAAAAATAAGGACCACCCTAATATATATATATAATTTAATTACCTTTTTTATTTTCTAATTAAATTTGTTCTGGTTTTGTTTCATAAGGAAATATTGACTTAACTGTTTTAACTCATGAATAACTTTCTGCAAAATATGTTTGTGCTTACCATTTTTCTAAATGTGACATTAGACAGGCAGGCAATCGTGTCATATTGATAAAGACAGCCATTCCCCGAAAATATAATATTGACAACTCTTCTTATGAACTGCATTAATCTACATCATCAACACCATCACAAACATATCCTTTATTAGGAAATACTCTAGACACTGATGATGAAATAGATTTAAATGTTTTAAAACCGACACATACATATTTAAATAGATCACCAGAAACACCAACATTTTATTTTTCTCAAAAAAATTCTAATAACACTTTAGAGGAAGAGATTAATCTTCGAACTCCAAAAAATGCCCATAATAAAACTTCAGCAACGCCTAATTTATCACCTTCCTCAAGATTATTTATACAGGAAATTATAAATATGCCAACTCCTAAAAAGTGCCAAAATTCTCAGCTTACAAGTTTCTCAAGTAATGACAATTCTGATAATATTGTTGTTGAAACACCAACTAAAAGAAAAATGAGAAATGTGATAGAAATTAAAAAAAAAAAATTAAATTGTAAATCATCAATGGTATGCAAACTACAAACAAAACTGTTTAATGTAAGAAATAAATTAAAAATTGCTAATAAATTTAAAAATAAAATAAACTATAAGAGTACTAATTCTAGAGTACTTTCTGAAATGCAAATGTTTCGAGCAAATAAATCTAGACAACCGTGGTCAGTTGAAGAAAAGCAATTTGCAATTTCCCTTTTTTATAATTCACCCGGAACATATAGGTTTTTAAGAAATGTACAAAAAATTAATTTACCTGGCTTAAGTACTATTAAAGGATGGATTGGTAGTTCAAAGTTTTCACCTGGTTTTGTAAATAGTTATATGGAACAAATAAAAATTAAAGTTAACGCGATGGATAATGAA